GAGTTCATTATTCATTTAGCAGAGAAAAATAGCACCTTTGACAAATTTAAGAAGGTTCTCCTAGAAAATGGAGCAGAATTCTCAGTAAGTAATTTATAGAACCGTATTTACAACTTTTCTTAATTTTACACATTGTAATGTATCATTCTTTCATTAGGAATCATTCATGGCCAATCTCTTGAGGATAATACAGCACATGAAACCCTCTAAACCAACACCGGACAAATCTGCATTGTCTGCCATCAAACAAGATGAATTAGCCCAAAAATTCCCTGGCTTAGCTTTGCCAAATGAGGAGCCAAAGGTAACAGATATTAAGGACCTCAAGGATGACGACATAGTCAACAATGCAATGGCAAGCTTGGAAGAATTGGCACCGTCTCACAAGAAGCCTAGCAATGAAAATAAAAAGGAGAGTGAGCCATTAGAGACTGACAAAAAGATCAAACACTCCAGAAGGAGTAGATCTAAAGACAGAAAAAGACACAGATCGCGTTCGTCCAATCGCAAAGAGAAAAGGCATAGATCACGGTCCCATTCTAGATCACGTGGTCGTTCGAGATCTAGGGACAGAAAGAGGCGAAGGTCGAAAGATCGTAGAAGATCGAGATCACGAGACAGAAAATCCCGCGATCACAAAGACCGACATTCTGGTAGACATTCTTCATTTAGAAATGGATCAGATAGATCCCGATCGAGATCCGTCGAGGAAATGTCTATGGACCCAGAAGTTGGGAAGATTTACTCTGGGAAGGTCGCCAATATTGTCCCTTTTGGCTGCTTTGTGCAACTGGAAGGCTTGAAACGCAGATGGGAGGGACTTGTTCATATTTCCCAACTACGAAGGGAAGGAAGAGTTGCCAGTGCCAGTGACGTAGTTTCTAGGGGCCAGAAAGTTCTGGTGAAGGTTCTCAATATTGGTGGACAAAAGGTACGAGCCATTTTACGTCCATTTTAGGTCCGAACGTCTTGCAGCCTTAACTAGACGTCCTTAAGACGTTTCAAAAACGTTCCGAAACGTTGTTTCGACGTCTGAGATTTACGTCTTGAACGTTGTTTCCACGTTTGAAGTTTACGTCTTTAAAACGTTTTAAAGACGTCCCGAAGTAGACGTTTCAAGAGATCAGTTTTATATTAATTCTTTTCTTATATTCTTTTTGTTAAATTTCCTTGACTAAAATGTGATGGTTTCAGGTTTCTTTAAGCATGAAGGACGTCGATCAAGAAACCGGTAGAGATATGAACCCAGTGGTGGCTGTCGCTAAGACTGAGGAAGACGAGAAGCATTTGCGCAATCCCGATAGACCAACTTCGTTGCTGGAACTGCAGGGCAACTGGGACGAGGACGAGACTTGTTCCAGGAAGCGTGTGCAGAGGCTGTCGTCTCCCGAGAAGTGGGAAATAAAGCAGATGCTTGCTGCGTCTTGCATCGACAGGAACGAGTTGCCAGAGTTCGATATGGAAACTGGAATTCTTCCACGCGAGGACGATGAGGAAGAGGACGTGGAAATCGAGCTAGTGGAAGAGGAACCGCCATTTCTGCATGGCCACGGCCGGGCTCTTGGAGATCTAAGTCCTGTTCGCATTGTTAAAAATCCTGATGGTTCTTTGGCGCAAGCTGCAATGATGCAAAGTGCTCTGGCGAAAGAGAGGAGGGAACAGAAAATGCTGCAGAGAGAGCAAGAAATGGACTCTGTGCCGACAGGCCTCAATAAGAATTGGATTGACCCTTTGCCAGAAGCTGAGAGCAGGACTCTGGTAGCGAATATGCGAGGAATTGGTTTGCAGACCCAGGACCTTCCTGAATGGAAGAAGCACGTGATAGGCGGCAAGAAGTCGTCTTTTGGAAAGAAAACGAATCTAACTTTGTTAGAGCAGCGCCAGAGCCTGCCGATATACAAGCTCAGAGACGATCTAGTAAAGGCAGTCACTGATAATCAAATTTTGATAGTAATTGGCGAAACAGGCTCAGGAAAGACCACCCAAATCACACAGTACTTGGCCGAGGCTGGGTTCACTGCTCGTGGGAAGATCGGATGCACTCAACCCAGAAGAGTGGCTGCTATGTCAGTCGCCAAAAGAGTGGCTGAAGAATTTGGTTGCCGTTTGGGACAAGAAGTAGGCTACACGATTCGTTTCGAAGACTGTACCGGCCCGGAGACCAACATAAAGTACATGACTGATGGTATGCTGCTGCGTGAATGCCTTATGGACCTTGATCTGAAAACTTACTCCGTTATAATGTTGGACGAGGCGCATGAACGCACGATTCACACCGATGTCTTATTCGGTTTGCTTAAGCAGGCAGTAGGAAGAAGGCCAGACCTCAAGCTCATCGTCACGAGTGCCACTCTGGACGCTGTGAAATTCTCACAATACTTTTTCGAAGCTCCAATCTTCACTATTCCTGGCAGAACGTTTGAGGTAGAGGTGATGTACACGAAGGAACCGGAGACTGACTACCTGGATGCTGCGCTGATTACAGTGATGCAGATTCACTTGAGAGAGCCACCAGGCGACATATTACTTTTCCTAACTGGTCAGGAGGAGATCGACACAGCTTGCGAAATTTTGTACGAACGGATGAAGTCTATGGGCCCTGATGTTCCAGAACTAATCATTCTGCCAGTGTATTCTGCGTTGCCTTCTGAGATGCAAACCAGGATATTCGAACCAGCTCCGCCAGGTTCTAGGAAGGTGGTAATAGCGACGAATATAGCTGAGACCAGCTTGACTATCGATGGTATTTATTATGTAGTGGATCCTGGCTTCGTCAAACAAAAGGTATACAATTCAAAGACGGGAATGGACAGTCTGATAGTGACGCCGATCAGCCAAGCTGCTGCCAAACAGAGAGCTGGAAGGGCCGGCAGAACCGGTCCAGGAAAATGTTATAGGCTTTATACTGAAAGAGCTTACAGGGATGAAATGCTGCCCACTCCAGTTCCGGAAATCCAGCGCACCAATTTAGCTACCACTGTATTGCAACTGAAGACCATGGGCATCAATGACCTATTGCACTTTGATTTCATGGATGCGCCGCCTGTGGAATCGCTTATCATGGCCTTGGAATCCTTGCACAGTCTAAGTGCTTTAGATAACGAAGGTCTGTTGACAAGATTGGGTAGAAGAATGGCGGAGTTCCCATTGGAGCCCAACTTATCAAAGATGTTGATCATGAGCGTACACCTACAATGTTCTGACGAGATATTAACAATTGTCAGCATGCTGTCTGTACAAAATGTGTTCTACAGGCCAAAGGATAAACAAGCATTAGCAGATCAAAAGAAAGCAAAGTTTAATCAGCCTGAAGGCGATCATTTAACTCTACTAGCGGTTTATAATTCTTGGAGGAATAATAAATTTAGCAACGCTTGGTGCTATGAGAATTTTGTACAAATTAGGACTTTGAAACGTGCACAAGATGTACGCAAACAGCTCTTGGGTATCATGGACAGGTAAGCAATTATATTTTCATTTTAATAATTTTGTGAAATAATACTAATTTATTATGTGTTATTTAATAGGCATAAGTTGGACGTTGTGTCTGCTGGGAAGAATACCGTGAGGATTCAGAAAGCTGTGTGCTCAGGTTTCTTCAGGAACGCTGCGAAAAAGGATCCTCAAGAAGGGTATAGAACACTGGTGGACAGCCAAGTTGTTTACATTCATCCGAGCAGTGCTTTGTTCAATAGGCAACCTGAATGGGTACGTAAATCGAAAATAAAATTCTCCAATCATTTTGCAATGAGAAATCAATAATTTGTTTCGTCACAGGTCATTTATCACGAGTTGGTACAAACTACCAAAGAGTACATGAGAGAAGTGACCACCATAGATCCAAAATGGCTAGTGGAGTTTGCTCCAGCTTTCTTCAAGTTCAGCGACCCAACCAAACTGAGTAAATTCAAGAAGAATCAACGACTGGAGCCGCTCTACAATAAATACGAGGAACCAAACGCTTGGCGAATATCTAGAGTCCGTAGAAGACGTAATTAAGATATTTATTATACAATCTGTAAATAATTTTGTATCGAGTTTCGTATCACATGCACATACGAACGAATGTAAGTAACTTATGAGATTGTCGAAATAGAATAATTCTATTACTTACCCAAGCCCGTGTCGATCAGCCTCAAATAACAAGTGTTCGAGTTTCGCAACTTCATTTGTGTTTAATTACTTAAGCGAGATACTAATGTTTCCGGAATAGAAAATTGGACTAATACAGTCATGCTTCACCATAGTAAGCAATTCTGTGTGTGTGCTTCACCATAGTAAGCAATTCTGTGTGTGTGCTTCACCATAGTAAGCATTATTATCCCTACCATTTTAATGCGCATCCAAGTTCGCGCAGTTGCTTTAGAAAGGAAACGGGAGATGTTCGAGCTTGAAAGGCCTCATTCACGCGTTTCCTGAAATTTTAACATTGCAGTGCCTTCGCCAATGAGGGCTTTCAAAAGAAAAAGACCAGCATCTGGACCTTTCATCAATTTTACGATTCGTCTTTATGACCTGTCTTCTCTCCCACGTTGCGAGTCCGCTACCCTTTGCCCCTTTCACTTTTACGACCTGTCCTTGACGCTTGTGAAGCATTTTCTTTACCTGCTCGAAATGTAAATCGTACCGACACTTCTATTAAGTCGTTTCTTCTTCAGAATCTGATCATGTGTAGAGTTTTCGTGCTGGACAAAGAACTTTTTGTAAAAATACAGAAATATTGCGGAGGAACTACGCCCGTCGACACACTTTTAAACTTTGACATTAATTTATAGCTATTTGGGACTAAAAACAATTAACAAATTGTATACCACTACATTCGGAAAACTCTCTTCTATTTTTTATATAAGATAATAATAATAATACCTCATTTTTGTTGAAAATTCTGGGTTTTTACACAAACTCGTTTTTTTTTTTCGAAAACTGAAGAAGGTAGAGTATTTCGATTTTCGAATACTTAATCAGGAAGTGAAACTCTACAAGAACATCATAGCAGCTGTAGTGAAAATCAATAGGGCAAAAAGTGCAAGTCGAATTATCGCACCACGTGTTTTAGATGGAGCACCAGGCATATGGATGCGCGAAAAGAGTGAGAACGCAAGCACGATAAAGCGAGACGGCCTACGTTTCTCGTTTGCGCGACATTCGAGTATAGAACCAGCTGGTTTCATTCTGTCTCTCGATCATCTCCCGTTCTCCTTCTAAAGCAATTATCCGAGCCTTGATGCGCATTAAAATGGTGGGGATAATAATGCTTACTATGGTGAAGCAGAATTGCTTACTATGGTGAGGTATGACTGTACACATTATTTTGTAAATCAGTAGAGCGGTCCTGAAAGCTATATGCACAATCCAACAGAAAAAGCTATTTCTCCTTATAAAATAATTGTATTAGCCAGAGTTCACATAAAGAGTTCTTAATTATTGCATCAAAAACTTACATATTTTTACGCGAATATGAATTACATTAATAACAACGTTTATGTAATGCTTTTATTGGAATCAATTCATGTAGTATATTCAGTAAAATCATCCATATAAACACGTTTATTCGATCTTGGCGATAAATCGTCGGTCGTTCCGTCTGGATTATTATTTATTGTTTCTTGCAAAACACGATTTCGAAGCCTTTTTATATGTCGCAATCGTTCTAACCAGTTCGAGGCATACGGATTGTGACTGTTTTGTTCTAGAGATGATGAAACCATTGAAGCAAGCTATAAAAGAGTAGTTAAATGTTTAATAAATATTTTGAAAATATGCTTAGACCAATTATAGAAAACTTACATTAGCATGAAGAGCCAATTGTCGAGATAAAATTGCTAAATTTTGATCTGATATTATTTTAGGTTCACTATGTCGAATATGTTTTGCTAGTTCTTCTTTCACTTGAACTGTAACTTGATTAGTACCGTGATCCAAGGGCTGAATCACAACGCCCGCATAATTGAATTGCCCCTAAACAGTAAAATCAGAGAACATTAGAATATCGTATTTCTATTTATAATTAAAATCCATACCTTTACAGTTTGTATATTATATGGCTCCCCAGATTCATTGTACACTACAGTAACATAATTGTTTCCAATATGTTGCTTTTTAGAAGTACATTTTGGATCACTGGATTTAGTTGGCATCAAAGTGGCCACATGAAACGCTACCTGTAAAGTAGTTATAATATCCTTTATTCAATTAGAAAGTTAGCAGAAAAAGCAAAAAAAGAGTTTCCATTAGTTCCTGGATCAAGTTTTAAAACCTTAGATAACCCACCATGCATATTCTTTAATGACTCAATCAAACCTGTGTAACATCATCCTGCCAAATATATGCAAAGTTCCCATTTTCACCGTTGCGGTCCAAACCACCTAGAAACACACTTTCATCAACGTCTTTTAACCGGACCAATGTTCCCAATCGTTGTAAAAACTCTGTATATCGAAGTGACCCATGCTGATTAGCTAGAATTTCTGCCTCGTTAGAGGCTTGTCCTGGGCCAACATAAAGAACTCCAATTTTATGGGTTTCATATGGTTGTATCCTGTCCAAATTCGTTACTGCCCTCTGCACAGCTGTTGTTTGCGGAACTAACAAAGGTTTCTCCGAGGGTGATCCGAAATGTGCCGTATGATATAATTGTAAAAAGACAAAACTGTAATGTAAATATTTTTAATATTACATTGCAACACGGACTGATATGTATCTATGCATAAAAAGTACAATATACCTAGGATTGATACCAGCTTTCGGAGGATCTTTTACTCGTGGAGAATTCCCTCTCCGTATGGTGTCCCATTCTGCGCGAGATTTCTTTACAGGACTCATCACGGAAATTGTATGACCTCTATCACGGAACGGTAGTGGTAAAGGTGGTAACGTGGACGGATCAGGTCTTTCATCCTTTTGCTGGAAATATAATTCTCCGTTGAACAAGGAAACTATAAAAGGAATGTGATTCGTAATTATACGAGAGGATACTTTATCCCCAAGATGATTTCGTCCAATAGGCGGTTTATTTTCTGATCCTACTGATGCCTGCTTTTGACCAGACTCAAGACTAGATAATCGAGGGTAAATTTGAGTGGGTGATTGTGGAGGCTTTGCTGTCGATGATTGTATTTGTGCTGTGCGCGCTTGTACTCCTAGGAAGTTTCCTTGTACCTGTGAAAAAACATATAAAAGCATATAATATATACATACACACTGTTCCACTGAGACGTATTATAAACTTCGTTCATTTTGAGATACAGAACTGTACCTGTAGGGTAGTTGGTGATGGCGGGACAGTATTGCTAGTAGTTGTAATGACTTGAGTTACTTGCGATGCTCCTGGATAGGAACGTTGAGATCTCAATGCAGATGGATGATCTGATGCATTTTCTGAAGATGGTGGTGTCGTGCCCATACCAAATATTTCTTCTGGTATAGCTTCACAACTGACCCTACAGAATTTATAAAAATTACCTTGATAAGTGCATGTATTTTGTTGTATAACAGTACATAGTAGTATTTTTAAAATAGCAGTACCTCATGTCCTTTGTATAAGTATTTTTTGCACGATTCTTTGACTCTGCGTCAAGTTTAACTTCTAAATCTGCAGATGGTAGCTCACGGTCTACTTGTTGTAAGTTTAATTTATCTTTATTTAAGAATGGATTTTTCCAATTAGCGCTCATTTCGGGACTAGAATTCGATCTGCGCACGGGATTCCGGGAACGACGTAAATCTATCAACGATTCATTCATTCTTTAATATCGTAAAAATTTGATCAGTAAATAATAAATTATTAAACCGTACCATCGTCACCGTCCTCTAAGCTTTCCAAGCTATCACGGGAACTTTGTCTAGACGGATTCGGTCGAGCTGGTGAACCCGGAATGGCAATTGGACCGGATGATATGGAAGATGATGTTACAGATTTCATCACACCACTATGATCAGTTTGTACTTGATCTAGATTTTTATCCGCAGTATCCTACGACAAATAACTCACATCTACAAAATGTTACATTATTATTACATTTCCTAAATAAGTACACATCTTTTAACCACCTCTCCTTCATCTCCAGAATATTCTGACGTTGATTCTTGCTGTTTCTGCAATAAATCCTGGGTTGGTCTGTACAGTGCCATTATATCATGTACAGGAAAGTCTATGTGCATCTCGAATTGCATAGAATTCTGAATTCTCATTATCCAAGACATATCACCCGTAGGTCTGCGTACATATATTTCAGCCCAACCTTGACACCAACATGCACAAAGCACATGTTCTTCTGGCTTCTGACTGTTGAGTATTTGTTCCAGTTTTGATGATTCAACTTGTTCTTTATCTACCTTCTCCACAGGGTATTCCCTTTTCGTTGCTTCTAAATCATCTAGCGTTTTCTTCGATTCCTCTATTGGAGAATTTGCAGCTGTATTTCCAGTAGAGCTCCCATGGCCTCCCGAAGATTGCCTAGACAATTTGTCTTCCTTTGCTGTCTGTATTTTATTATATCTTTTTATTGTAAAAGTATGACACAAATAGAGAATTGATTGCAAGAAAAAGTAAAGATACCTCTGTACTAGATGCTCTCCTTAAATTCAATTGAGACGTTCTTGTATGTTCAGGTGATTGAGGACCGGGTTTACAAGCGACCCAACAATTATCACAGAGTCCTCCACGCATTGCTTTATTGCTACAACCGCTTGTCGTTACAGTGATCAGTTTATTTCCAAGCAACCATGTCATTGATTGGCCTTCTTTTAGAAGAAAATCAGCACTAGAAAGTCTGAGGAAATGATTAATTAATTATTCATAGAATAAACTTAAAAATTGTACAGTCTGCAGAAAATTATCTATTTAGTTACCTTTTAGGCCTTGCTGAATATGTTGAAAATGTATACCGAGCCATCAAGTCGATACAGGTTTCAGTAAGTTCGACGTGAAAAGTCATTAAAGCTTCGTCGATGGGTGGCTTCAAATCCGAAACTTTACTATCACCTATCATACGATTAGACATTATTGGTCTTTCTCTTCGACCTCTACTACCCTAAAAACAAAAACACAATTGTAAAGAAAGCAATTAAGAGGCTAGTAATGTATACAGTGAAATGATAGTAATTCATTACACCTGTTCTGTTAAACTCGAACTACGTTTCCTATTTGACGAGTCTTCATTCATGAAATTAAAATCTGATTTCATCAAATGTCCTTCCTCGAACGGTATTATTACATTTGCTTTTAAGCCCTGTATGAAAAAACGTATTTGTAGTATGTCATTTCGAAAATGTTAACATTAACTGATGTCAATCCATTAATATACGAACCGTAGTAATAAATCTAACAAAATCTCTTCGAAATGGTAATCGACACTTTAGAAACCATACAGCAATTACGTGATGTGCCAAAGATACCGTGTAGTGGTCATATTTAAATGGATTTGTATATGGTAACAAAATAGCAAAAACCGACATGTATTGGTCTCCAATAAAGCTTGCAAAAACTTTTGGCAGTCTCGTGAGAGCTAGAAAAGAAAGATATTATATACATATAGAAGCAAATGTTTCAGAGTTTAATACTTACTAGATAAAAATTCCAAAATTGGTATAGCAATATGTACTGTTGCTGAAATTTTAGACAAATTTAAGAGAACTTCTGACAAAAGTTTGTTCATAGTGTCACGCATTTCCAAAATACAAGTTGTAAGACTAGTAACACACTGGCTCGCGCATTTTGCAGTTAAACCGACCTAAAATTAAAAAACTTGCATTCACACATTCGTGTAACAAATATTGTGTAAAGATACTTCGAGAGACAAATTTTGCTGTTACCTCTAAACATTTTATTAAACGTTGCTGTAAATTAGGATCCAGATGCGCATGATATGATGCTAACGATGCTAATACTGGAAAAACGTGAACGCGAAATTCAGATAGAGTAAATTTTGGAGGAACATTGTACAAAGATTCTGGAAGTCGTAAGTTCTTATCACTGACCTGTTAAAACAGATTAAATAAGTTTTGATAGATTGATAAGTCTTATTATAATTGGTGAACATACATATGAAAGGTATATAATGTAATATATATTGCAACATACCATAGAACAAAGAGCTGTAGCAAAACAATCAATATCATTAGTATGTCGTGATAGTACCAAGGCTCTGTTCTGCATTACTTGAGGTAACTCCTTCAACACAAGTTGTAAAACCTTCCAATCTGCAAGATTATAAAAAGTGTTTATTGAGTTGTGTGTATGTGTGTGTGTGTGTGAAACGTTTACCATGCAACTAGATAGAGTGATAGAAACCTTTCTCCGACTTAATACAGGAAATAACAGCTTTACATGCATGTGCCAATGACATGTGTGTAATCTGACAAGATAAATGTGATGGAGCTGGACTTGCTGGTGGAGGACTGTTTCCACCACCTCCACTATTCATTCGTTCAGTCGCGGCATGTTCTAAGACTAAATATGGACTAAATCTTGTTACAGATGCATTTTGTGCATCCGGAAATCCAAGATGATACAGCGTATTCGCTCTAATTTTCAAGAAACACTCAAAGATCTGAATAGGGTAGATCGCATGTAGAATTCATTTAAAGAAACCTTGAGAAATGAAATCAAACGATTAAACATTTGTCTTACCAGATATCGAATTGTAGAAACATCGTGGAAGACACTTGGATCCTTATAATGCTGATCAAGATGATTCACTAAAACCTTATAAGCACGTATTGCATGACTTGATGGCAAGTTGTAAATTTTTAATGTTAATATTTTTATTACACCAACAACTGCAGTTTTCACATCCTTGATATCAGTGTCCTTTGTGACTGGAATGTCAGAACAGAAGGGTTTGTTGATTAACTGAAAAGAACAATGAATATTGACTTCTGTTTCGTAAATGTAGCATTAAAATTAATGGATGTTGTATACAAACTATAATACCTTCTCTATAATATCCAAAAGTTCCAGACATCGTTTTGTATCACACTCAAGACAAAGGTCAACAAGCAAATATGCAACACTATTTCGAATTGTAATATCTGAATCCGCATCTATATGTTGAAAATATGGCACAACAATTCTTTCAATCAATTCATCCTCGTATCTAGACCTACTTAAAAGAAATAAAATTAAAAGCTGCATGGCTTATATATGCTTGAAATTCAGAACTTTATAATACCTATTAACTTGAATGACATTTGTTAAGACTTCAAGGACTTTTACTCTAACATTCGTACGTGTTTCCATTTTATAATAACGATCCATTAAATTGGCTAATCTTGTTTGCCAGTGATGATGAGTAGGCCCTATAGTATGTGCTCTATATTCAATCAATTTTAACACAGATGCTTCCTGTAAAGAAACGTTTAACTTTACATGTATCTTGTTGGAATCAATATAATAGTACACATATGATAATTACAGGTCGTGTATTACTGCACCGATCAACAAGCTCGTAAAATCGTTGAACACAACCATTATAACGGTTATTATCCAACAAATTTTCAATACTATTTATTGTTTCATGTAAACTCGTTGAAACTTGTCTAGTTGCAGGCTGATTGCTAGTTTCTGTAAAAATAAAAAATAGAATATATTGTGTGTTGCACACATTATAGTATATTGAATATTCTATATTTTACCTGTGTGAGAAATAACTTCTTCAATAATATCAAGAATAATACTCCATGTAGGATCCCATAACTCAGCACCATATTTGGTCACTAATCTCTGAATTGATAGTGTTACTTCATACATAACAATTGGGTGATTACATTTTAAAGCCTTTAAATAAAACAAAGAATAAGTAATTTCTTCATTACTGTAGATAATGTGCAGTATATCCTCTAACTTACTTGATAAAATGAAGGTAAAACAGATGTTGGAGTACATTCTAATTTTGGAATTTTATGCGTACCCCAAAGGCCCATATTTACATAAAACACTGCACCTCTTAACAAACGTACATCTCGCTGAAAATTGACATCTTGCAATAAACGACACATTGTATATAATGCAGAATGGCCCATGTGTGTTCCTAATAAGTTACGCATAATCTGAAAAATTCAATTGTATTTGAATCTTATTTATTAATTTTGTTAATATAAATTAAACAACTATATATTTGGAAAATATGCTTTGTACTACACCTTCCAACTTATTTGACAATATGTTTCAACATTTACACTCCCACATAAAGCTATGATAAACGTTTGTAATGAGTCAGAGTGTAAATTATTATAGCAAACAATTGCATCTAGAGCTTCTAAACACCCAGAAACAACTTCAGTGCTATTGCTATAATAACACAGATGACAAATGTACCTAAAAGTATAGAAATTATAGAATAGTTCTTTTATCATTATTATTAAAACTATCATGGAAGATTTTTTGACATTTACTGCACAAGTCCTGATATTATATCATCATCTATGTACGCTGAGTTGAATTTTATGACATTGACAAGAAGAGACAAGAATTCAGAACCCCTTTTCCCATCCCCTGCTGTTACAATAGGCATCCATTCCAATAAGAATGGTCCCATTCTCTCTTCCAAATGTAATATATCTTTTCCATTTTCTGTTAAACTTTGTAAGAGTTCCAATCTAGAAGAGAGCAATGCATATTTAATAGAAAGTTTAATTGATTGATAATTCAAATCATATGTTATTGCTAAAATACCTAGGTCCAATATCCTCTGGAATATTATGTTCTTTAACAACCATAAAGAATTTTACTCTCATGAGAGAAGACAGTTTAGAGTATTGGCCTTGGACAAGACATCTCAAGAAGTTCAATGTCACGTGTCTGTGTTCTCGAGGTACATCTTTTCCTAAAAGGTCTTGTACTAGATACCATAATCTTTCAGCTGCTGTCTAAAAGATATAGAGTAAATATTCACTTGTGCTGCACATGACATTTTCTAACACATCAGTTGACAAGTTTGTTACAGAGAACCATCTACCTACATCTTCCCATTGTTGATTAAGAACTGCATCGCAAAGATCTTTAATTGCTCTTGTACGATGATGTACAGGACTTTCATGACTAATTTCTTTTTCAAGATCAGTAGTTAATGTGAAATCTTCACGACTTCTATAGTTTCCTAAAACGAATGTTGAATTGATAAACATGGTAGACATACTAAAAAAAAAACTTCAAATTTTGCTACTCTGCTTCTGTTATTGTCAATTATTAATTAAAGTATCGTTTTCCAAAAGCAGAACGTGAACCATTGTAAATATGATTGATAATTTTTTTTTAGAAGAACAAATACACTTTATTGTAATGTACAAAATCACCTTTGTTAAAACGGAAAAACTGTTTCAATTTGTCATGTAAGGTTTTGTTGTCCTTGTCTTTCGAGCTCATTTTCGACATTTTATTTTAACAGCTAAAAGGAACCACTAGGATATAGCCAGGACGATTTGTGTCGAGCAACGGTGGACATATCAAAAACAAATCTGAATTCGGGAACGTCAATGAAACGTATTACGTGAAGACAATAGGTATACCGGAATACCAAACACCAATCAGCTGTAATCGGTGACCATGAAAAACCGCTACAAAAGACCATAGATATCTTTACAGTCAATACCATATGGCGAATCTTCATGACAACTTGTCACCTTGTCAGTTTGTGTATGTATTGTTTGTAAAAATATATTGTAGTCATAAACAATACTAAAATTTCAACGAATATGAAGATGTGTCTAAGAAAAATACTTCTAGAAAGTATAAAGGTTAATGGATATTCTTTAAGAGTAAACAAGAATTTATTACATTATTCATATATGTAACGTACGAATAAATTGACTTTTGTTCAAAGCAGAACAAACTAATGAAAATGTGATCTTGAAATAAGTTAGGTACAATGCATACATATTTTTCCTCTTACGCGAAATGAAAATGGTACCTAATGTCGTCATTCAACTATTCCACGTAGAGGGAAATTTAAATGAAACGACTATAGTTACATAGTGGAAAG